GAGAGAGAGAGAGAGAGAGAGAGAGAGAGAGAGAGAGAGAGAGAGAGAGAGAGAGAGAGAGAGAGAGAGAGAGAGAGATTTCGATCGATAGGATGAGCAACTTGCTGGCCAACAGGTGATCTGGCCGCATGCTACTTCCATCCATAGGATGAGCTAAATTGAATGAATCTACCGTGAGAACATGGAGATATACACTGCCACACTTGTGTGTGTGTGTTGTCATATTGGCTATACACACACACACACACACACGCATACAAGTCTTCGATTATTATTATTATATATATATATATCGTCAAATAGAATATATATATGTATATATATATATATAATTTTTCTCTTAAAGCAATAGACTTTTTGATGGTAAGAATTCCTTTTTAAAGTTATTTCTGGGATTTGTTGCAAAATATATAAAAGGAACATATTTTTGTTTTTACAGATATCTTTTCAGGTCCTTCCACAGTAATGAGCCTACCCAATGATTACACCCCCAACGAACGTGGATGCAACAAGCTGTGATAATTTTGTCCAAGGTTCCCCACCATATCCTCCCCCGTAGGCGTGTTTTTCGAAGCGGCATCGGCCCTGGAAACCCATGTAAAATATAGGATTTAGAATGCCACCATAAAATCAAAACACGGTTTGTTTCGGTCCTGCCACAGTAATGGGCCTACCCAATGATTACATACCTAATGGACATGGGTGCAACCAGCTGTGATGATTTTGTCCAAGGTACCCCACCCTATCCTCCCCCGTAGGCGAGTGTATTTTTCGAAGCGGCATCAGCCCTGGAAACTCGTGTAAGCCTTGGGACCATGGGCAAACGACATAACCATCTGTATATAGAGCATGTATTGCCCTGATGTCGTCCTCAGTTTCGGATGCGCCTATGGCCGTGATACCTTGGTTCAACGAACGCTCATGCGCCAAGGTTCACGCATCGGCGCGGGATGGTTGCTGCGGCAAGGAAAGCATGTGTTGGGAGTTGCTCTCCGGATAAGCCTACACCTTCTACCTTCCTCATATCATCCACCATCCATCTCTCTCTCTATCTCTCCCTCTCCTGTGTGGCGCTTTGTGGTGGAGTTTGAGCTATCGCTCTCCTCTTGGTTGGTAGCGCGTTTAGGCTGCGTGGGTAAGCGGTAAAGTGTTGGAGTGTCTTCTCTCCGAAGAACAGTGGACTTCGATCATGAACGATCTGGCGACTTCATCAAAAGTGATACTTCATTCTTTTGCTTCCTCACTCCCATACTTATTCCATCCTTCC